ACGGTATGTAAACATTTCGGTTTATCTCACTGGTAAATGATTCCCACTCTCGTGCACCATGATGATCGGATTCCGGCTCACTGGAACGCTGGAAGAACATTCGGCCTGAACGGGCATAAAAGCATATTGAGTGGAACTGGCTTGGATGAACTAGAGGGTAGTAGTACAGTAAATCAATGACTGAAATGACATCACTCTGCGGAGATACCTACATGAAAATACAAACTCTCCTTTTTGAGCACTAACATAACAGAATTAAAGAGTAATAACCAATATAGCATACTCTCCGTGTAGCTTTAACTGAATCTGATCGTAAATATGCTCAATGGACTTGATCTGATTGGATTGGCTCACGTTGCTGGGCAAAATCATGAAATCAAATCAGAGAATGGATCTTGTCGCTAAACAGATCTATTGTGAACAGTTTGGGGTAAGATTTGTCCTTGCTTTTTGTCATCATCATGCTGTGTTAGCATTCCTCATATCGCTAATGAGCATTAAAAGTATTCCATGCGTTAGTTTCGTTGTTGAGGAGGATCTGCAATGCATAACCACTGATTTCTCTGGTAGTTAAAAGCCGACGTAGACTGTATGTTGCTCCGAATGTTGTTTCCTATCATTTGGTAATTAAAGAGCTTTTTCCGATGAATAAGTAAGTGGTCTTCAAACGTTAATTTCCTAGTACATGAATGGTCCTAAAATTGACTGGGAAGTAAGTAAGTACGATATTCAAATATTGAAGTTTATAAAAAGTCATTTTGTGTTTAGTCGGTAAGCAATGAGAAAATGCACTATGCAAGGTAGACGGAAACGAATCTTCGTTGTTGACTTGTAAACAGACAGTTTCGAGTACAGTAGGTAACAGAAAACAGAAATGCAACTCCTGGTCAGCAGCCTGACTAACTATAGTTCGCATCCAAACCTATTATCATACGTCCCACACAATAGTTGAGCACCACAATAACTCTCTCATTCGATTTATATGCAATAAAGTTATTCGAATAAGAATTCTCAATAGCGCCTTGTTTTGACGGCATCTGTGTCCGTGATAAGCATCTTCCCCACCCCTTGCCCTCATTCTCTCTTTGTTTAGGTAGACCTAATGATACCTAGGTGATCCGGAAATACCCCCTCTAGCCTCCAGCTAGGCAAACATCAGTACGGAAGACATTTCTTCTGTACACTATGTGTAATCATTTGTGCCTCGTCTTTGTGCTTGTTCTGCATCGAGCCATCATACGTTCGCCCTTCTCGAACATCGGTGTGTGTGTGTGTGTGCGTATCGTGACACCAGACAGTCACTCAGCGGTTTCATTTACATTACAATCAGACAAGATGACAGGAATCGGTCAAACAATGCTCTTGGTAATCGCAATCCAGTTAGAATGCAATGTATTCCACGTAGATCGGAACACGTCGAGACTCAAACCGCATCATACTGTGTCAATCCTGTGACGCCCGGGGTATGAATTATTGGACTTGCATAACAGAAGCATTCCGACAACCAGCAATCTGATAAAAGTTTGGAAAGAATGTGCATGTAAGTACAGAGACATTGAAAAATGAAGATGCTAGTATTTACGCGCTCGGTCAGACGCGTTCCTCCGTTGGATAACCGTTGGAAATTGAAATGGTTAATGCAAATGGAGTAAGTAGAATTACTCCTATTATTCTTGTCAGTTATAAAAAATATTTTATTTCAGATCCCATGGGTAATAAGGATGATTTAGTTTTTTCGGATTTGAGGAATATTATTCCCGCATATCAGTTGAAAGTTTATAGAGGAGTACCAGGTCTTTGTTATAACGACACACGTAATTAAAAACGCCTTTGGGAATGTGTTTTGGTTTTGAGGGTCCGCATGTGATTTTAGTAAACTAACCGCAGTCTGTTCAAGTGTGTATGTCTATAGGTTTCTATGGGCTATTCTTCAGTGTCACTTAAGGGGGATCACAGGAGAATCGGGTTAATCATTCAAGCTCACAAACAAAGCGTTGGAGGATTCCTGATTCCAGCACCTGTCCCTGTCCGCCCCAAGCGCTTAAAGTGGCATTTTTACGGTTTTATTTATTTGGTTCACATTAAAATTGTGTAGCTTGTCCTCCACTCGACTAAGATAAACGACGAATATCGGCGGTGCAGTATTCAACATTCATCGTATTTCATGCAGCGGTGCAATATATATCCCAAACATTGTACTCGGTATTTTTAAATGAATCTTATGGGTACCCGTTTGAGGATCGAACCACTGACGCATTACGTCATACACATTCCTCGTTGGTGAACGCGGATGTTATTACAAATAGTTCGTGAAACATGGGAATTTGGTTTTCTGGTTGTAGTCCAGTCCCTTTCAACGGGTTCGCCCACTGCACCCTCTGTGTTGAAGCCCAAAAGGAAGGATTCATTCAGTTTGCCTTTTGCGTCTCTTACTCACTACAGATGAAATACTTCGTCAGAATCCTTGGTGCCATTAAAGTGTTTTTTCCCAAATTAATAAACAGAATCTTTATCAGCACTGACCAATTAATTTTTCCCGAGGATGACAAACAATAACCTGTTTTCTTCCGGGAGCATCATTAAAGCCAATCCACACGCTTGTTGATTCTTCCACGGTAACCGCCTGGTTTTGTCTTGTTGCCAAGATGGGTATTCAATTTTATCCGACGTAGAAGACAAGTCTGAGCACTTGTCAACCAAGCGATTCCACTACGTCACCGACTCCACCCCAGCCTTCACGCCCTCCAGACACGTTCCACCACCTGTCCGCATTCACATACACACACACTAAACTGCTGTAGATGTAGTTGTCATGACAACAGAAATTTCTGTTTCTCACGTGTAGTCCGCCTGTCAAGGCCGCGGACTGTATGCCTCTACCACTGGCCGGAACGTTAATCTGCAGTTACGTGAGCGGTATGAATAATTTGTGAACTACAAATCATAGTTCTGTGTTTTGCCGCTCGTGCACACCCGTAGATGTGCACTCATTTATACGCACGCACGCACACACATATACACAGATCTGGAGGCACGGACACACACACATTAGGCTACTGTACGTGCTGGAAGGAATAAATTGAGTTGAACAGGAAGGAAGGCAGAGTGAAAATTTTGCCTAAAGTAAAACGGGCTAATCCCGTGATCCATTTTTTACCCATCGGGAATAGTTATATCGTAAGATTCCTGGTATGTATTTCCTTTGAAAGTCACCACGATGGGCAAATCCAGTAATATTGATCTACATTTCAGAATGCGAAACTCAAGTAGTTACCCTCAAATAATTGCATATTTCCTCATTTGTGTTTCTGTTCTTCAGATCAATATGCCATTTTTAGTACAAGCCATATATTGCTAACGTGTACTTTTCGGTTTGGTGCAGATTATATTTTATCCGTTGCACACACACACGAATCCCGTGATCTTCACCCCTTCGCACACAGCTGTCGCCGCTCCTAGTTTCGAGTCCCTTCATGAGAAACGAACCCACAGTCAACAACTATTATCGATCGATTTTAACCACGACATGCCAGAATGATGAAAGACAAATGCAAATTATTGACAACCGCCTACACCGCACACACATAAATCATCAGGGAACATTGCACTTCATTCAGATCTACTTTGAAGGTCATTGATGTGTGTCTGCGATCGATATACAAATTGAACTACGTGTATCTTGGCCTCCATCCAAGCATTATCGAGTGAGATGCATGAGTAGCGGAACATACATGCTGTGATAACTGAGCTTTGCGAGAGCAACTTAGCATAGAATTGTGGTCGTGTATGGTAGTTCTGACTCGATGCTTGAATTTGACCTCCAGTGGTACATTGCGAGATGCAACACTGTGTTTGATCCTCAAATTCTTTTACCCAGTGCATCCACCCAAGAGTTTTGAGATTTTAATTTCAAGAAAGCATAGTGAGGATGAGCCTGAAAGGAAATCGTAGAGATGGGTTTCTTTACGATTGTCGTCAGATTCACTTTTCGAACAAAACGGAAAACAATGACAATATCTGTAAACATTTTACAGGTACCACCGCTTGTGACTCCCGGATAACTTGCGTGTTATTTCATTAATCATCGTTATGGTCCGTGAGACCGCGTCATGGCGTTCGTCATCAAAATGTATCTCCCAATGTTATGTACATGATTCAAAATTAGTTTCATAACCTTTCAAACGGATCAGACACTAAACACTGCTTGAATAATGCATCAATAATGTAAGCTGTTGCATTTTTTGGCACTCAGGGAGGGCAATTTTTGTTAGCACACCCATCTATAATAGTTAATTACAGTCCTCAAGGTTTTCCCCTGCCGACTTCAGAAATATATGTACGGTGATCGATGTGAATGACTGGAACAAAGCACATTCAGACTTGGGATCAATTTTGTTTTCTCAATCTTTATCCTGAAACTGGACTACATAAAAACTGATTATACCATCCAGCCCCTATGCAACACTGTACGGTCGATGTCCATTTCTCTCACTATGTAACTGTACAACTTTTGAGTTTCGGATTTAAGAAACCTATCCATGAATGCAGCAGTACGTTCACAAATGTGGCAAAGTGGTCTTGTCAGCCCGAACAGATCATCTGAATGTAAAGGGAAATGTGCTAAGTGACTGAAAAAAACAACAGCTTATAGGAAAACGTAAATTTCACAAACGCAATTATGAAGCAAGTATGACTGGCATTTGTCTCTAAACGCCACTGACCCCGTGCATTATGTCACTAATCATGTAGATCAACCCTCTCTCTGGTTATAATTATGGGGCACGTGGTATCTAAAGTTCCACGTTCAAGCAAAATCACCCCCCTCCCCTAAAGGGTGTCATTCTAATGGCGCCCCAAAAAGCTCGTGTTTATTTGTTTGGCTTGATAGCAGAATGATACACTTTATGATATGGCATTTCGGAGGGCATCCGAGCCCAGAAGCAATTGAGTGATAATTTAATCAGACACAGACCCCAGTATGCATATCACATGCATAAATGTCAAACGAAACAGATCAAATATTGGAGGAGACTTACTTGGAAGTGTTTTTGTAGATCATCCACGTGCTTAAAAATGGATTTGTCAAAGAACACGTGTTCATGCCGACCCAGATCGATAATTCCCCATAATTTGGCCACGTGGAAGATGCGACCGCACCGATTTGTCAATGTTCTAGCATTTTCTTCAACGGGTTTCGTGCCAGTAATCACGATATTGATCATACGTTCCAGACGTTTATTTGTCACTAGAATCAGTGGTTCGGAGGAATTCGATAATGACTGGTTTGGACCGCTCGTTGATTTTGAGACATTGTTGTTGTTATTCGTGATATTGGTAGTGCTTGTTGCATTGCCTGCTGTTTGATTCGCCGCTTTAGGCACCGGTCCTCGGCGTACGTCGAAAAAGAGATTGTGCTGACACACGAACTCTTCCAGTTCGATTTTTGTCCAACCAATGGTAGATTGCACACTCTCGGGGGCTTTGGTCGATAGAAACTGCATTAGTTCCGTCAGTTGAAGACCCAATTGACCCGGTGCACCACCTCGCTTCTCTAGCACTTTTCGTAGAAACATAATTGCTCGATACTCGTTTGCTGACATACTTATGCTAATACTGTTGGCTGTGGACAAGCTGGGCATGGTAGAGCTGAAGTTCGTTAACGGTTCTGCATCAGTAGATGAAGTGACCCCGGTGGCTGCACTGAGCAATGATTGTGTCAAATATCCGTCCGCAATCGTTTCTCTACGATTGATTGGTTTGAAAGCCACAGCACGTTGACTTGAGGTCAACGTTGGATTTGACCCTGTGGGTGTGGTTGGGGCGGAACTTGTGCTTCCGGAACGACTTGCACCGCCTGAAGCCGGATATGAGGCTGTGACGAAATTCTCGGCAAAGTGGGTCGAACGACGATGTTCCTGTTGACGTCGATTGTTCCCGTTAAGGTTCGTTGCGAATGACAAAGCTCCCAATTGCTGTGGTGTAGTTAAAATTAAGGATTTTGGTCTTTGGGCTCGCTCAGACCCACCGGCAGATTTCCCAAATCCACCACCGCCACCACCATTACCGCCATTAAGGCTTGAAGAGAGCAGATTGTTAGATGAGAAACTCGTATGAATCACATTGGAATTTCCGGTAGAGTTTGAACATGAAAACCGATCACGTGTACGACGCTGCGTGGGAAGATTGCTAAATGGATCTCTAACACTAACCAACTCGCCTTGGACTTCGAACACGTGTGGATGCTTGAGCAGAAAATGTCGGAATTCTAACTGCGGACCTACAACAGCACGTACTTCCGGGGTGGCTTGTGATAAGTGACCGGCCAAGCTTTTTATCGGCACCCATCGTTCTTCTCGTTTGAGCAGACGTTGCTGGAAAAATCGAACCGCTTCAGTTTCGAGCAGAAGTTTTTCCATGGGTGGGAGAGCACAATAGGTGGTGGGCATCAGATTCGATCTAATGCTACCGCTTGATGGGTGAACTGGATGACAGTGATGACAGTGTGTGGTCGGGGTCAATCTCGTGGTGGTACATAAACAGTGTGTTTGCACATGATGATGTGAAGCCGGACAGTGATGATGACATGTCAGATCGAGTAGAGGACAATGCACACATGTAGACCGCGATGCCACAGGCAGCGTGGCCGCATCGGTATTTGAGCACAATTGGAGTTTCGATCGGCAGAGTTCACAAGTTGTATTTGCAGCTGCTGCCAACCGGGCTTGTTCTCTCAACGGAGGTGGTTGGTATACAGCTGTGTTCTTGTTCCATCCACACATTGTTGGGTTGGAAACACGACGGCAAATATTTGTCGGCGCTATACCGTTTGATCTATTTTTCTCGTTCCCGCCGTGCCCATCGTCGGCTCGTCGATTTGGATCAAGCCCGTTTTGGCCGGTGAACGAAGACATGGAACCGGAAGAGCTCTGGGATGAGTGATTTGATGGAGAGGAGGCCAACGAGAGCGAACTTGTACTCTTGGTTTTAGCCACATCACCCGCATTGGTTCCATTAAGGCGAGTTTTAGCTCCACGCTGACCGTTGGTCGATTTAGACGATTTGCTCACACTGAACAACGACGGCTCGGCGTTTGCTGTGGACTGATTCGTCGAGTAGTTGCTCTCACCGGAAACGGATGAGCAATGGTTGGTCGATCCGAGACACAAATCCAACTCACTCATTCCGTCCGGTAGCGTATCCAATCCGGGCAACTCGATCGAGACCGAGGTGACTTGACCATTCTCACGCACATTGAACAGTGAGGGAAAGCGCTGAAGAAACTCGCGTAGACCCTCGGCACTACCTCCTCCACAGGCCTCACGCATTTCCTGACTGAACGATTTGTGTGAGAATCGAGCAGCCAATTGATCCACGGTAACCGGACTATCGGAGTTCATCAACACTTCGAGGAAATAGAGCATGGCCTTGTGACTGGGATCATTCATCATTTTGTACAGGAACACTTCCCGACGTTTCAAATAGTCCAAACACGAAGCCGCATCTTCATTCCGCACATAGGTTTTGATTATTTGTTCACCGTGTGCGTAGGTTATGCGTGGTAGCAGTAGTAGTAGTAGTCACAGTGGCGTTGTTGTTTGATCACGTGAACCGTTAGCAAACGAAAAGCAAAAGAGAAAGAGACTGTATGAGGCTTAGGCTGCAGGGAACCAATCAGATTATAATTATATGAGACAATTGTCACAGAATGAGACTGGTCATTCATTGGCTGAACTAAACTCTGCTCAGAGTAAATTAAGCTAATGGTACACTTGGAGTAAAAAATAGGAGAGAGAGAGAGAGCGAGGGAACACCACCTGACTGAACTCTAATTGGTAATTGGCAAAACTTGTCCGAGATTGGTAATATATCACATATTTTGCAGAGCCTGTTGCTGTTGCAAACGGATCTCAAGCTAGTTGGCTTAGGCTTATGCTTCGCATGTTTGGTAATCTCGTTGATAATTGTATTAACTGCTCGCAGCTTGAATTTCCAAACCGATTTAACCAGGTACATTTATGAAACACAGTTTATTAACCATAAACCCTAATGAGCCACATGAAGTAACTGACTGGTTAAACGTGATAAAAAGGCCAAATCATTTAGTATTTGTGGAATCAGATGTTTGCAGGATCACAGAGATAGTTTTCACTTTAAAGTTGTTCAACGTAACAAATCTCTTCATCAAACTGAGATCATCATCCAAGTAAAATCATTCTATTGAGAACGATATTATTTGACGGATGAAGGCAAACATTCAGTTTGTGTTAGATTTATGAGAAAGGTCTGTAACTCCGACAGGATTCATATCCACGCATGAACTTGTCGAGTTGCCAAATCTCACAAAACGGAAATTAATATGAGCGACGAAGTTATGCCCCTTTGTTATAGCGTTATACACAAATATGACGTTTCATTAACCAGAGTTCATTCATGATGCGGTAAATATTTCTTCTTTTACATTTACATTTAAAACCAACTGATGACTTGCACTTAACGTATTTCTTATCCACCCCAACAGACTCATTAGTGGTCGTGTATCGTTGTGGATCTGCTCACAAACGGTTAAGTTGCCCATTAAAGATTGAATATCATCGACTGAGGGCGTGCCTTTGGCAGTAAATTTGTCTGGTGAAATTCCAATGACGGCAGAACACAAATGTCCTTCTCAAAATACGGAATGGTGTATCACATCCCCGCGGTTGCAAGCGTGCGTATGTGTCCTTGTATTAGCTGATAATTGATGACTCATAAACAACACTCTTCTTAATATCTGGCTCCGTTCCATTCGAATTCATTTTCAGGACGCCCACCTGGTTGTCAAAATTGCCCTTAAGCAAGACTTCTATAGAATGTGTTATGAAAAATTTAATTCTTGTTACACAATTGCCTAAGTAAGCTTCATTAATGGATGAATTATGCGGACGGGCATGTTGCTAAATCTAGCTCAAGCCTGGAAAGTATTATGTAGACGGTGAGCCAGCTCAGGAGCGAATGAACTTTCGAATACACGCAGATGGCATTCTTTGGGCTCGTGACAAGTTGCACTATATAAAGTGGAATCGGGGATCGCATGAGCAGGACGGGAGTCTGCTATCCAATTAACGATAGAACAAACGATTGGTTTGTTTCACTCACCACACATAGCACTCACTGTTCATCTTTGTAATCTGACTGATATTGTTTATCATCCCGTGGAATTCTCAGTTGGACTCATGGATGCCTAAGAATGACAAAGACGCCACAAAAGATGGAAGCAATCACACGATTCACTAGAGCATGGTTTCTCTTGCTCTGTATGTGACGTCCTTCAATCTGGAATCCAAATAAATCTAATGTTATTTTCACCTATGTCCCTAAAGGTGCACACCTGTCCTCTTGTAGGTGATGATCAGAGCTCAATACTTCGTAGGGACTTGCCTTCCGAACTGAAATTAACAGTAGTTGTACTTCTCGGGATGTTGAATGCAGTTTGCACGTGTATTAGCAGTATTATTATCATCATTACAGTTAGCACGTATCTACCTGACCTTTGGACCAAATCAGAGAGCATCGTATTTATTACTATTTGATACTACCAGATATTTCATTTCATTTTCTCTGTGATTGTTGCTTTCGTAGTACTGGAAATTTGGGCTCATGGCCGTCTGTTTCCCACTACCTTCAGAATGATACCGACCCTCCACAGCGATGCGTTGCCTGCCTATCGACAATTCCATCCCACGCTCAAGTTCAGTTCACATTCCACATACTCATGACTGGGTGCTTTTGGTTGCATACTCAATTTAAAATGCGGTGTAAAGATGACCGGACGGGGGTGACGGTAGGCACTTGAAGGATTAGTACTCTCTATATTTTGTGTGTGGAGTAGGGGCGGAGGAATAAAATAACGAATAGTAGCATGCGTAAGACAGATCAGCATACATAAGGTGGTATGGATCTTCAGGAATTATTTCACAGTATCTCGGGATAGTTGTTCATTACATGTATCAAATTATGTGCGGAAGACAACTGCGGTCTATTCAATACCTTGTTTTATTGATTTTCTCTGAAGAGCTTAGTACGTATTTTTAGAGTACTTCGTCACTGTACTGCAATAATATTTTGCTCTTATGTGTTCCATTTAAACCTGAATCCAAAAGGCTCCGTCATCAATTTAGCTGCTCCGGACTCGCATGCAAAGAAAGGAGTATCACGCTGATCAGCGAATTCGCGTGAACAGATTGCGAGTTAGTTGTGGTCAATCTGCTGCTGTGGTTCTGTAAGAACTCAGCTTGAAATCGATCAACCACTTCTACTACAGTCATGTAAGCAGAATCGTGGTCTGTGATGAAATATTTGTTTGTCTGTTTATTTGCTTTGCTGTGTGGTTCATTTTCATAACAATAATAGCGAATCTTTGTCTTTTTATAATTGTCTTTGTATCACACTGTTGCAAGCCAAAGGTCATTGAAAGTCTTAAAAATTAATAGCCACATATATTATAAATGGTTCATTAATCCAACATTGTTCACGTAAATCTTCCCGAACAAATAGAACATAATTCGGACACATTGTAGTGGTAGTGGTCATGCGGTATAATTTGCTTTCACCAGCGTAGTTTGGACCCTGGGGTCAGAGGTTCGAACCCCTCCATCTACCACCACCACATAATTGGTGACAGGCAGCCTCGCTACCATCCGGCTCATTACCATATCCAACCTACTGGACAGCATGTGGTTAGGTACTCAAATTGGCATGGCCAAGGCTAACGGCTTTCGCGAATGGACTGCAGGTTCCATTGACCTTGGGGTTTATTCCGTCTGCTGTGGATCTCTCAAAAACGGTTTGTTTATGGAAATGAGAATACTAGAGGACATTCTTATATCCCTACAGAAAATCACCAGTGAAATCTACTACACACTGTTTCTTTTTCTGTGGGAGTGAATTTCTTCGGAACGACAGCATACTCACGTATCTAACATTTGGCTAAACAACTGAAACATTTTTTTACTGATTACCGGGATGCTTATTTACACTTATTTAGGTTCGCGCTCATTCAACTTATGTGTTTTACACCAAAGTTTATATTTGCGGAGTTCGAGTACAACTTCAAAAGACAATATTGATTTCCGAAATAAATCACAACAAATTTGGGGATAAAGCTGACCGATTCAGTTCCATTCGCCATCAGGCTTTCACATCTATTCAAGCAAAAAATTATTCACAACTTTGTTCCAATAACATATGTTTAGTAGTGGTGAGGTAAAGATGTCAATTTCCACTGGAATTAACAACATTTTGGAATCTTACGGTGTCTAAGAAAATCAAAATCAAGAAAAATCACAAAGGATATCAGAAATCAAACACTACTAACTTATTCCAGTGCTGCGATATATAAAACATAGGAAGACGAAGGGTTGAAGGCGGCGTTTCATTTATTCTCAATCAATGTGCTAACATTTCATAAGTGTCACAGTGGAACTTACACAGCTTGAACATACACCAAAACGGTTTCTGTTTGGTGCTTTTAGTGTGTACCTGAAGACTTCGGTTTCGGAGTTTCTCAGTGGGAAAAAAACGTACACAGGGTCGCTATGGTGGGGGGTCCGACGAGTTGCACACGGAACGATCCATGCTCGCATTCATGATGAAGTCCTCTGACTCCGAGGTCTCATTTAGTTGTTTTGGTACCATGAGATCAGGATATGCAAATTCCGCTCACCACGTCATCCATCTTCTTTTATTCTCATGGAACCATCCCTATGCGGAATGAGGCTACTGAATCGGATTTGGGGCCCAACCTGCCGGTGAAATCCCATTTCAATTCTAAGAGCTAACTGAGATAGGGATAGCCGTAAATTTTGGGTAGTGAGGCTTTATTTCACAACAGCACTGCTGACAAATTTCTCTAGTGATGTGTTGCTTCTCTATGCTCATTTTCTCATAAAAGTCCCGTTTTAATATGGATCATTATGGAGCCTCAAAATTTTCCCCCTGGAGCGTTAGTGAAAAAGAGTCTTAGCAATTCACAAACATACCCTGCTCATTTTCAATTTACACTTGGGTTGACGCGGGAAAGACGATCAACTATCGTCCATGGCTTTTTTGCAACTGAAACTTAGAAGGTACCACACTGAGGTGTACCGATGGGTGTGCGTCAGGAGAGTGTGAGGATCACGTTGCAACGCGCGTTGTTGTCTTTCAGCTAATGACCACTTGTAATCAGACAATTCATCGAAGCACAGCTGTTTCGGCGTATGCACTGAGTATCCATGACGGCTTGAATTTGACGAACCCTCATTTGATAGTTGTGCCATTCACAAATTATCAATCATCGGACTGCCCGAACTGATAACTATGGTTGATCTCTGGCCAGCATAATGTGGTAGAGTGCCCATTCATTGCTACAGCTATGTACTGACCATAGTCACTTAGACAGAAGTTTCGTTTTTTTTCGCACTTTTACTCGGCAGGGCCATCTACGGCGGATCAGCTTATACTACCCTAG